AGCATTTGGCCCATGTCCCTCTAAAGCCTTCCTATTCATATACCCATTCAGATGCCTTTTAAATGTTGTAATTGCACCAGTCTCCACCACTTCCTCTGGCAGTTCATTCCATACATGCACCACCATCTATGTGAAAAAGTTGCCTCTTAGATCTCTTTTAAATCTTTCCCCTCTCACCTTTAACCTATGCCCTCTAGTTTTGGACTCCCCTACCCTGGGGAAAAGGCCTTGGCTATTCACTCTATCTATGCCCCTCAAGATTTTATAAACTTCTATTAGGTCACCCCTCAGCCTCTTGGAAGGAGGGTCAAATGGGGTCAAATGGGTAGAAATAAAGAAAACAAAAGGGACAAACATGCAGTTACGTCTGTACTATAGCCCCCCTAACAAGCATGGGGAGAAAGGGGATTAAATGTGTAATCGAATTTCAGAGATATATAAGAATATTAAGGCAGTAATATTAGGAGATTTTGACTACCCAACTATTAATTGGGATAGATTAGTGCTAGGTAGGTTGGGAGCAAAATTCTTAAATTCTATCAGAAGAACCTTTTTAGTCAGTCTGTTGAAAGCCCAATAGGAGGGGACAGTTCTGGACCTAACATGGAGTAAGCCCTGGTATTTTGAACATAGTGGTTGTAACTCAATTAGATTTTGCATAATAACAGGTAAGGATTAGGATGGATCTATGGAAAGGCTAAATCACAATCTAAGAAAAAGGGGTAAACCATTCTGGATGAAGATGCGGAAGAATTTCTTCACCCAGAGAGTTGTGAACCTATGGAATTCTCTCCCACAGCAGGCTGTTGGGGCCAGTTCATTAGATATATTCAAGAGTGAGCCAGATGTGGCCTTTGCAATTAAAGGGATTAAGGGCTATGGGGAGAAGGAAGGAATGGAATAGTGAGACTGCATGATCAGCCATGATTGTATTGAATGGTGGTGCAGCCTCAAAGGGCTGATTGGTCTAGTCTTGCACCTATGTTTCTATGTTTCTAATTACACTAAGTTAAGATACGATTTGGCCCATAGACTGGGAGCAGCTACTTGCAGTTAGAACTCTATCAGACCAGTGGGGAGCATTCAAGAAAGAAATAGTGAGTGTACAGGGCAAATCTATTTACATAAAGGTCAAAAGGTGGGACCAAGACAAAGAATAGTACAGCAAAGGAACAGGCCCTTCAATCCACCAAGACTGTGCTGACACATGATGCTGTTCTAAACTAAATACCTTTTGCCTCTATTTGGTTCGTATCCTTCTATTCCCTGCCTATTCATGTATCTATCCAAATGCCTCTTAAATTTGCTATTATATCTGCGTCCACTACCTCCTCTGGCAGTGCATTCCAGGCTGTTATCACCCACTGTGTAAAATGCCAGCTTCTCACAACTCCTTTAAGCTTTTAAATCCTTTAAACCTATATTCCCAGCAATTGATATTTCTACCCTGGGAAAAAGACTTTGATGTTTCTTTCTTTATATGCCTCTCATAATGTTGTAAACTTCTATTAGGTCACCCCCTCATCCTTCAGCATTCACGTGAAAACAAACACGATGCCACCCGAAGGTTGCAGGAACAGCAACTCATATTCCACTTGGGAACCCTGCAGCCCAATGGTATCAATGTGGACTTCACAAGCTTCAAAATCTCCCCTCCCCCTACCGCATCCCAAAACCAGCCCAGCTCGTCCCCGCCTCCCTAACCTGTCCTTCCTCCCACCTATCCCCTCCTCCCACCTCAAGCCCCACCCCCATCTCCTACCTACTAGCCTCATCCCACCCCCTTGACCTGTCCATCCTCCCTGGACTGACCTATCTCCTCCCTAACTCCCCACCTACACTCACCTTTACTGGCTCCATCCCCGCCTCTTTGACCTGTCTGTCTCCTCTCCACCTATCTTCTCCTCTATCCATCTTCTATCCGCCTCTCCCTATTTATTTCGGAACCCCCTTCCCCTCCCCCATTTCTGAAGAAGGGTCTAGGCCCGAAACGTCAGCCCTCCTGCTCCTCTGATGCTGCTTGGCCTGCTGTGTTCGTCCAGCTCTACACCTTGTTATCTCAGATTCTCCAGCATCTGCAGTTCCGACTATCCCTGAAACAAGTTTGTTGAATCTCTTCTTATAGCTAATACCCTCTAAACTAGGAAACATCTTGGTAAACATTTCTGTACTCTCTCCAAAGTCTCCACATTCTTCTGGTAGTGTGATGACAAGAATTGTACACAATATTCCATATGTAGCCTAACTAAAGTTCTCTACAGCTGCAACATGACTTACCAATTTTTATACACTATGCCCTGATTGATGAAGGCAAACATGCCATATGCTTTCTTGACTACCTTATCCACTTGTGTTGCCACGTTCAGGGAAATGTGGACCTGTACGCCTAGATTCCTCTGTATGTTGACATTACTAGGGGTTCTACAACTTACTATATACTTCCCTCCTGCATTAGATCTTCCAAAATTAGTCATTTTATGTTTATCCTGGATTAAACTCCATCTGTTATTTCTCCACCCAAGTCTCCAGACTATCTATATCCTGCTGTATCCTCTGGCAATCCTCCTCACAGTCTGCAGCTCCTCCCAATCTTTGTATCATCACAAACTTACTAATCAGGCCACCTACATTCTCCTCCAACCATTTATACATATTACAAACAGCATTGGTCCCAGCATTTATCCATGCAGAACACCACTGGTCACAGATTTCCAGTTGGAAAATCACTCTTCCACCACTACTGTCTGTATTTCTGATAGAATTCTGATGGATTCTGCATCTATCTTACCATGCTCACCATGAATCCCATGTAATGTCACCTTCTGTATCAGCCTGCCATGCGGAACCTTTACAAAGGCCTTGCTAAAGTCCATGTAGGCAGCAACCATTGACCTCATCAATCATGTTTGTCACTTTCTCAAAAATCTCAACCCAGCTTGTGAGACATGACCTTCCCTACAGAAAGCCATGCTGCCTATAATTTTCCTAATGTGAATAAATTATATCCCTTAGAATCTTCTCCAATAATTTCCCTACCACTGATGTAAGACTCATTGGACTGTAATTTCCTAGATTATCCCTGTTGCTCCTCTTAAACAAAGGAACAACATTGGCTATTCTCCAGTTCTCTGGGACCTCTCCTGTGACAAAAGAGGATACAAAGATTTTGCACAATTCTCCAGCAATTTCCTTACCTGCCTCCTTCAGCATTCTGGGATAGATCCCATCAGGTTCTGGCACTTGTCTGCCTCAATGCTTTTTAAAAACCTAACATCTTCTCCTTTTTTATATCAACATGCTCTCGAATATCAATGCACCCCTCCCGAGACTCATCATCTACCGTGTCCTTCTCCTTTGTGAGTACCAATACCAAGTATTCATTAAGGACCTCATACACTTCCTCTCGCTCCACACATAATTTCCCTTCTTTGTCTTTGAGTGGACCTACCCTTTTCATAGTTACCCTCTTCCTCCTTTTATTTGTATAAAATGCCTTGGAATTTTCACTAAAACTGGGAGAGCATTGGATGTCAACAGTCATAAATTTAGGGTTAAGAAAAAAAGAAAATAGTGGTGGATACTAAAAGCAGAATCCCTACAGTAGAATGAAAAGTTCAGGAAAAACTTAAAGAGGAAAGCTCAGAGAATGCTTGAGAAAGTGTTTGGGGGGGGGGGGGGGGGGGGGGGGGGGGCGGGAGTAAAATAAAGTGAAACCAAAAGGGGTTTGGAGAATAATATAAAGAACAAGAGAATAATTAGGAAAATGTTAGGGTCCATTAGTGAACATAGAGGAAGACATGAGCACAATCTTGAGTGAATACTTTGCATCAGTTTTCATATAAATAGCTGGAAATAGGAAGTCATATCTTTCATTGATAGAAGGGATTCAAGGAAAGATGTAGAAGGCTAAGAGGAGATTTGAGGAGAGGACAGGAGGAGTCTAGAATGCACGGATTGAAAGGGTGGTTGTAAGTGGTGGATAATCATTTTATTGCATAGGCTCCAGGACCATGGGCCAAGAACTGGAAAATAGGATCGATGTAGTCATATGTTTGCTATCCTGTATGGACACAATGGGCCAAATAGCCTCCTTCTGTGTTGTAAATGTCTACTAATCTCAGTTTATTTAGATGAATTCCCACTTCCTGTGCAACTGTACTGAAGCTCCTTCTAAATGGCACTTCCACAATCACTTTTTTAACCACGTAAGGAAAAAAAGAACAAGGTGGTCTAACAGCAAGGAATCCGAGGCCTCATAAGGATGAGAACACAGAGGTTGGCGTATATTTTTAGGCCAAGGGATTGCTTTTTCATGCTCTTGTAATGCCTTCAAATTATTACCCAGCCAACTTCTTGAATAAACAGTCCTCTCCCATTCTAAGTACATTAGTTCTGTCATCTGACTATACGATATGGAATGCTGTGTTGATTCTCTGTACTATGGTATAACTGGCACTGTGTCATAAATTAACTTTGTACAGTTAACCCTCTCAGCTCAATGTTTGCCTAGTGCTATTCTGGCAGCAAACTGCCAGTCACGTACCTCTTTTTATAGAATTGGTTGCGCTTCAGTGAACAGATGTGAAAAAAAGATGTGATTGTTATTGTGATGCCAATTACGAAACAAAATCAAAGTAGTTCAGAACAAAAAAACTAAATCTCAATTACATATAGTCCATCATCATACATATCTATTATTTCAGATTTTCATTTTCTCTTGTGGTGATTCAGCACGAGTCGTTTGACACCCTTACCATGGACCTAATAGTCTACCCAAATACACTTCCTCCAAGAAGACAACATTGTTATATTGTCCAGGGTTGTGTGAAGGTGCAGTAAATCAGTGTATTTTAAATGACTTTTAATATCTGGGTCTTTAAAATCTTGACATGTGACTCGTGTAAAGTGGGTTTTTTTAAACTACGAGTTTGCTTGAAGTTTGCACTGTGTAGACGTCCATTCCTTTAATGCTGTTTTTAATAATTGAAGTGGGAGGGGAGGGAATGAATTTGGGAACCTGCTGTAGGGAATGAAGTAAATTGAAAGGGTGTGTCGGACAGTAACTGAGAGAAACACGGGGAAAAAAAGAGAAATGGCAGCTTCACATAACTTTCCCCCGGAAGGTTGGTAAATTATTTCTGTCCCAGAGTTGGTGCTTGGAGGGAGCTGGCCGCTGAGTTAGTTATTGTTGTGAGGTGTTGGGCTGCTTCTTCCTTGAGGAGGTGTGAGGGTCTCTTTCCCCCGGCACTGCTGCTGGAGGGGCACTGCCCGCCGCCCCGGGTTAGGGCAATGCAGCCGCTTCTCGGCTTCGCTCCTTTCTTATCCTCGGGGCCGGAGCCGCTCTGCCTTCGCCCCCTCGCCTGGGTTTTAAAGCCAGCGGGAGCGGCTTCGCGGTCTGTAGAGCGGGCGGAGGCGGGGTAAGCGAGGCCGCTGTCCCGCTGGCTTTAAGGCCGCAGCGGAGAGGAACATTGTTGAAAGTTGTCTCATAGTTGGTGTTGGTATCAGGGATCTGTTGGCACGAAACCTTTGATCTAAAAGGGGTGAAGCTGATCGCAAATCCACTTTCCGGGGATACACTGTTTAAAAGACTTATGATGGCCTTAATAAATACATATTTCACGCACAGTGAGTGAAGAAAGCGGGTTTGAGCAGGAAAAAAAAACTTCCCTGTCTAAAGTCAGTGTACGCTGATATAATGCACCCTGTCTGGAATTGACGCCGTGCTACAACTAACATTCATCCGTGCCAAGAAGTCATGCCATTGTAACACCAGTCACTGTCTGTGGCAGATGGTAACGAGGCACTCTAAGCAATGTTAAACCTCTACTAGATGAAAGCTGGAGAGATTGTGACCGTGTGCCCTAAATCAAAGCACCTTTTTAAATTGATTGTTGTTAAGGCTTAACAGCTCCTGGTTAAACAACTACTTTCGATTGGCTTAATTCATTTACGGTCTGTATTCACTTGAACTTTGACAATTACTTCTCAACGGGCACACACTGTATCAAAATGCATGCTGAAATTATTTGAAAAGATAGACTGGATGGACCAGTTTTACTGGGATTGCTACGTTTTATTTGGACTGTCTTCATTTTTCAGGTGAGAAGTCCCTGTTTCGTGACTCAATTTTTTTAATGAAGAAGATTTGTTATTGTTTGGAAAAATGATGTGGGTGGAAACAAGTATGAAAATATAGGCATTTGAAATTTAAGAGGTTAATATTGGAACTAAGGGTTTGCTAGTTTTTACTGGGTAGTTCATGACCCATTGTACTTCAGCGTGACAATAACCCAATGCAGTATCACAGTAATTGTAGTGAAACAGTACATCATATGATAAATTGAACTACATAGCTAAATGCTCTATTGGTAGAGAAATACAGGCTTTAAACATATGTATAGTATTGACTAAATATTTTACAAAATGTGCTTGAGGTGCAAATAATTATTAACTATTTTCCCAGTTATTTACATTGTTCCTTTGCCTGCCATATTGGATTTACATTTTATTTTATGATTCAAGTTCTTTGTTTTCGTTTTCCACCATCCAATCCAAAACACTTCCACTTCACATTGTTCTTTACATGATTAATTGATTGATTGATGTATTGTCACATGCACCAAAGTGCAGTGAAAAACTTTGTTTATGAACAGTACAGGTAGATCATAGTAATCAAGGATGTACAGATCAAAAAGACTTAGACAGAGGCATACAGGTTACGTTGCACGGGGCATGTGCTAGGCAAGATCAACGTTAGCAAGATCAGTGTTATTTGAGTCCATTCATCAGCCTGATAATGGCCAGAACGAAGTTGTTCTTGAACCTCTCATCTTCTGTATCTTCTGCCTGATGAAAGAGGTTGTAGGAGATCATTACCGGGGTGGGAGAGGCCTTTGATGTTGGCAGCCTTTCCACAGCAGCAAGCTGTGTAGATAAAGTCCATGGAGGGAAGGTTGGCTTCCGTGATGGTCTGGGCTGTGCACACCACCCTTACTAGTTTCTTACAGTCCTGGGCAGAGCAGTTGCCATACCAGGTCATTAAACACCCAGACAGTATGCTTTCAACAGTGTAGCTGTAGAAGTTGGTGAGGGACCTTATGGACATGCCAAATTTCCTGAGCAGCCTGAGGAAGAAGAGGCATTGTTATGCCTTCTTGACTGTCACATCTACGTGGGAAATCCAGGACAGGTTGTCGGTTATCGTCACTCTGAAGAACTTGACGCTCTCCACCTTCTCAACCTCAGTTCTGTTGTTGTAGATGGGGGTGTGTTCTCCTCCTCCTTCCTGAAGTCAATGATCAGTTCTTTAGTTTTGTTGCGAGAGAGATTGTTTTCATTGCATCATGTCACCAAGCCCTCTATTGCCCTTCTGTATTTTGTCTCGTTGTTGTTAGATATCCGTCCCATTATGGTGGTGTCGTCAGCAAACTTGTAGATGGTGTTTGTTTGGAATTTGGCAACACAGACGTAGGTGTACAGGGAGTACAGTAGGGGGCTGAGGACACCTCGTTCAGGGGCTCCAGTGTTGAGTGTTATTGTGGAGGAGGTGCAGTTACCTATCCTCACTGTGGTCTGTGGGTCAGGAAGCTGAGGATCCAGTTGCAGAGGGCAGAGCTGAAACCAAGGTCAGAGTTTTCAGATAAGTCTGGAGGGGATAATGGTGTTGACTACAGCTCCGCCTTCAATGAGCAGGAGTCTGATGTTGGTCTCTTGCTGTCCAGATGTTCCAGGGGTGAGTGCAGGGCTAGGGATATGACATCCTCTGTGGACGTGTTATGTCGGTAACCAAATTGTACAGGATTGAGGCAGGTTGGGAGACTGGAATTGATGTGGGCCATGACCAGCCTCTCGAAGCACTTCATGATTATTGAGGTCAGAGCCACTGGGCGGTAGTCACTTAGGCACATTACATGTGCTATGGTGGTCGTCTTCTTGAAGCAGGTGGGGACTTTGGCTTGTAGAAGGGAGAGGTTGAAGATGTTGGTGAATACCTCCGCCAGTTGGTCTGCACAGGATCCAAGTGCTTGGCTGGGGACGCCATATGGGCCCATCTCTTTCCTTGGGTTGACTCCTAGGAAGACTGATCTGATGTCTGCAGTGGTAACGGGGGAACAGGTATGCCTAGGGCTATTGGGGCAGGTGTCACCACGCCGCTGGTGTTCTGCTCAAACTGAGCATAGAAAGCATTAAGCTTAATATTTTTTAAGCCTTGCCATATGTGATGGGAGTCTGTTTGATGGGTTTGGGCCTAAACAAAACTCACTTAGATTTTACAATTAAGATGTAATTCTTCTGAAATCTGTCACTGTTCTGATCTTTCCTACTGTTGAATTTACAGCTTCTAAATGAATATTGCTTTGTTGTTTTCTGGACCTGATTAATTGTTTAAACTCTGACAACAGTGCCTGTGGTAATCTTCACAATTACTTCAGAAGTGGATATTGACTTTATAGGTAGTGAACCACGACTCCTGAGTCAAATTGACTTATTTTATCCAATGGCTTCGGACCCTGAGGTATATGGAACATAAAATAATCTGTAATTGGAATCCTGGACAGTTATCAGTGAAAAAGATGTACAAATTATTATTTGATTTGGTAAACTAGCAGTCCTGACCCAACCTTCACCTAACATTTATCTGCCAATCCATAAATGATTACTCTTGATAGGGCCTCATTCCTTGATCTGTGCCAGATGATTTTGGGCACTGTATGACAGCATGTTGTGTGTGCTTACCTAAGGAAGGATATACTAGTTTTCATAGGTGCAACAGATTTCTTGCTTGGATAAAGGATTGTCTGACAAGAATGGATTAAGTAGAATGTATTCTGTGGAATGTAGAATGAGGGGTGCTATGACTGAAATACAGCATTCTTAAAGGATTTCTTGGAGTAGATGCTGGCAGTGTATTTCTCCTGATTGAGGAGTATAGAATTTGGGATCATAATCTTAGAAAAAGGGGCATACCATTTAGGACTAAGATGATACAATCCAGGGGCTGTGAATACTAAATTGTTGACTATGTTTAAAACAGAGTTTGATAGATTTTTGACTACAAAAATAAAACAATCCGGATGAAGGCCATTCATGTTTAAAGAAAAAATCAGAATTTCTGTCAATGAATTGATAGAAGTGCACAGCAGGACATCATGATTAGTTTCAAACAAAAACAAACTTTGTTGCAGAGATAGTAGGTACTGCGATGCTGGAGTCTGCGATGACAAGGTGTAGAGCTGGATGAACACAGCAGGCCAGGCAGCATCAGAGGAGCAGGAAAGCTGACATTCGGGTCTGGACCCTTCTTCAGAAACTTTGTTGCATTTTTGATTCCAGATATGCTAAATTGTTAAGCTCTTGGAATAGGAGCGACAAATTGACATCTTTCTTTATTCACCCAACCCCTTGGTTGGTTGCTGCAAGGTTAACTTAAAAGCAGATGCCCTCCTTTTTTCCTGACTAAAGGAGCTTCGATTTTAAAGGAGTCAATTTAACTAGGCTTTCATGAGTTAACATAAGTTTATTAGTTACCAAACACAAGAAGAAATAATAACACAACACACAAATGCATCGGAGTAAGTGAGTCCAAAAACAAAGTTTTTAAAGAAATATTGAATCATCTCTGCATCGTGCGTGAAGTGTAGATAGTGAAATACAGTGGTTGTTCCAGTGGATGTTACTGGTGGTATTTATTTCATTGGCTGTTCTCAAAGTTTCACAGATAATCCATAAGCTTAGCTGTCAGCCAGTGTATATATTGAAGGGGAAACAAACATATCTGCAGAAGATCTGCTGTGGAGAGGTGATTTTGTCTGTTGATGTTTGTCTACCCTCATGTAGGACCCTTGCACAGCTTCTCAAGGTGTGGGTCACAGCCAAAATTGGGGTTAAATTTTTGAGGTCATGACATCCAGGGCAGTAATGGCTGTTTGGAGTTTAGACTAAGTTACAACAGCCATATTCTTACTGTAACAGGTCCTTTGTCTCTCAGTGAGGGGTCATGATAATTTTCAAGCATTGAAATAGGGTCACTGTTGGAGGTGAAAAGGCTTTTGACGCCTTGCCGTCATGGCTTCAAAACACCTTTACCTGTTGTCATGGTTATTGTATGTTTGGATCTCTCTGG